GGACTCACATACTCTGTGTTCACGGCTGAGTACTCCAACCTCTAAGATATCAATCACATTATCTAGCTGACTTAGATTATATGGTTCAGTTTTATGAAGTCTCTTCTCAAGCATTCACTCTGGTGTCTCTCTGCCTCTGCTACTCTGCTTGGCCATGTTACAAGCTGACTAAGTCCATCTCTCTGTATACTTTGGGGATGAACCGTACAGTAAAACATATTTGGTACGTCACAATGGCCTCAAGTGGACGCTCAAAGCTACCAGCCATAATATTAAACCACCCTGATCCGGTTCACTGCCCACTCATTTCTAGAGCTCCATTTCAGACCTTCTCCGCCCTCCCAAACCTCAACTACATCCTCTGTCTTCAGTTCCCACTCCAGATATTGTCTCCCATTAAAGCAAGAGAGTGGAAGACGCTGGAAGAGGGCAGATGCAAGCTCCCCCACCATCATCCACGCTCCCCCGACCATCGCCCATGCTCCCCCGACCATCACCCACTCTCCCCCGACCATCATCCACCCGCCTCTCTGGATCTATGCTTACCCATTGTGTCTGCTCACATCACAGGCAACATCCGTGCTCTGTGTCGCCTGGGCACATCCCTGTACACTAATCCGGTTTCAAGTCATCACCCTTGGGATGACTTTTCTTTCATGATAAGAGAACAAAACCCTCTTAGTTGCCTCCTCACTTCGTTTTCCTTAACAAGGAAAGTTCTTGAAAGTGCCATGTGCCCTCATTGTCCCCATGCCTCTGTCAGCTCTCAAAGCTCTCCCAACAGATTTTTATTGTGCCTCCTGCAATGACTATTCTCAAGGTCACCATTGATCTATACCTTGCCTAATCCAAAGAGCTTATTCTATTTCTCCTCTCGGAGGGTGGCTTGTCTGCTTGTTGGCTAAATTGGGACACATTTAAGAGTGACTGGAGAGACCAACTCTCAAACTATTCAAAGAGAACCTTCCTTAGACTGAATAAACCTATTTGGGTTTTTGTTTGTTTGTTCTCATTTTGTCTTTGGTTACAAGATTTCACATAGCCAAGGATGCCATTAAATTTGATATGTACCTAAGGTGACCTTGAATTCTTGATCCTCTTGTCTGTACCTCTCTAGTGCTGGGGTAGCATGCATGTACGTACGTGCATGCGTGTGGGGGGGGGTGGGGGGAGGTGTGTGTTTTGTGAACATACCAGCTAGTAGAGTTTATTTAAACAATGTAAAATAAGAATGATCCACAAACCAGGCAGCTAGCAGACCCTGGCACTGCCAGCCAACAACATCATCTGACAGCATTTACAAAAAAACTAAAAAAATATACATAAAACAAAATTGCGCTTAAATATGTATCAATAAACCAAGATCCGTACCAATGCAAATCTCTAGATAAGGTAGGAAGTCCTTTGGTGTATGTACTGCTTTTATTGATTAATGAATAAAAAAGCTACTTTGGTCTGTGATAGGGCAGAATAGAGGTAGGCAGGAAAACTAAAGTGAATGCTGGGAGAAAGTAGATGGAGTCAGTGAGATGCCATGGAGCCGCCAGAGGAGAAAGATGCGAGCTGCCAGCCAGAACCTTGCCAGTAGGCCACAAGACTCATGGTAAAATATAAAACAATGGAAATGGGTTAATTTAAGGTATAAGAGCTAGCTAGCAATATACTTAAGCTATTGACCAAACAGTGTTTTAATTAATACAGTCTGTGTGATTATTTTGGGTCTGAGTGGCTGGGAACGAACGAGCAGCCTCTGACAATAAGGCATAGTTTTCATTGGCTACAGCTTAGTTAACCCATCAGTCAATGGGTTACAGCTCAATTAGATAATTGGCTCCAGGGCCTCCAGCAACCAGCCAAAACGTAGTCACTGTGGCTAACTTCTATGTTGGTTTGGGCTGTTTGCCTGTCCTGTTTAGGAACCCAGTTCAAATCAATCGTCTTCTGCAAATTAGAATCAGAAAAACCAAGTCACTAGGCATTAGCTGGGACTGTTCGTGGAAAAGCAAATCTGCTGGTAGATTTGAAGCAGCTGCTCACCACTTCCTTGTTATTCTATTTGTGTCTCTATTTGGATAACAGGGATCAGGCCTTCCTCTCCCTTCCTGATTGCTCCTTGTCAGTCTTTCCCTCAGGTCTCCTTATCTGCTGGCTTTGAAACAGTCAGAGCCCCTCCCCTCGTCCCAGCAGCTCAGCTCAGACTTCCACAATGATCTCACTCATCTTATAACTTTAAATGCTACCTCCACCCTAATGCTTCTCAAATGAAGCATTTATTGTTATTTATTATTATTATGTATGCTGGCCAACACCTCTTCTCTCTGGACTGAAATATCGGTGTGCCAACTCCAGGTATTAATGTGGGATATTTCTCTGTATATGTGTTGCTTTTATTGGTTAATAAAGAAGCTGTGTTGGCCTATGGCAGGGCAGAATATAGCCAGGCTGGAAGAGTTGTAGATGTAAAAGAGAGTAGGCAGAGTCAACAAGACACCGGAGGACACGCCAGAACCATACCAGTGGACCACGGCCTCATGGCGATACACAGATTGATAGAAATGGGTTAATTTAAGATGTAAGAGTTACTTAATAAGAAGCCTGAGCTAATAGACCAAGCAGTGTTGTAATTAATGTAGTTTCCGTGTGATTATTCACATCTGTATGGCCAGGAATGAAGGGTCGTCTCTGCCTACATGGTATCTGCACACATCTCCAGTTCTTGTGTTCAGTGCTGAGTGACTCCGAGGATACAAGGTATCTGCACACATCTCCAGTTCTTGTGTTCAGTGCTGAGTGACTCCGAGGATGGCAACTCAGGTCTCCTGGTCGCTGTAGCTAAACCCAACAACGTGATCCTGACTTGCTCTGTCCCTCAGTTCTCAGCCCACATCTGCCCATTCATTAATCCTATTGGCAGCTACATCAAAACAGCTACAGGATCCAACTGCTTCTCATCACCTAGTACTGCTTCCACCCTGGTCTAAGTCATAGGCATCTCCTATGGCACATTTGAGACAGGTCCTTCACTGGCCCCTGACATCTCCCCTAGTGATGCTATTGACACAGATGTGAGATCGTGTCATGATTCTGCTGATAGTCCTCCAAGGACATCCCTTCTCGGTCATCAAAGCTAAGTTCACACTACAAACTGTCTCATCCTGTGCCTCTGACCCCTCACTACCCCAGCAATACTTGCCCCTCAATTCTTTCTACTCAAGAGTTCTTGTAGATGCTGTTCTCTGAGCTAAAGTTTTCTTCCTCCAAATGTTCTTATGTGCCATTCTTCACATAAGAATATTCTTCACATATTCTTAGAAGTTTAAACCCTGTCACCTTGAATCCCAAACCTTAATACCTCCTTTTCTATTTCCCTTTGCATTTACCACAAATAAAATGTTTTTCTCTCCCTCTGTTATTCCTTTCTCTCTGTCTCTCTCTGTCTCTCTCTGTCTCTCTCTCTCTTCCTTTCCTTTCCTTTCCTTTCCTTTCCTTTCCTTTCCTTTCCTTTCTTTTCTTTTCTTTTCTTTCCTTCCAGGGCTGGTTTGAACCTAGGTAAATATGAATGTTGGGCAAGCACTGGACCTCTTTGCTGGTGAAATGGCTCCATCAGTAAAAGCTCTTAAACAAGCCTGACAATCTGAGTTTGATACCCAGAATCATGGTTGAAGAAGAGAATTGACTCCTGAAAACTGTCCTATGATTTCCAAATGCACACCGTGGCTCATGTGCCCCCCGCCCCTGCAGAGACAGAGACAGATTTTATATTCATTGGAGGGGTATATAAATTTAGTATTCATCAAACTCCTCAGTTTAGTCATAACCTTCTTCAAGAGCACCAGAGGCAGCACCACTGAACCTCAGTGCTTCAAAACCTTGGGAGCTGGGCCAGGGCACCCATATTGTTTTCAAAAGCTAAGTGATTCCGGGGCAGCCAGAATAGAGAACCGCTGTGTTAGGCAAACCATTTTCCTGGATTCTGAGTTGGGAATAGTCTTCTGGGATTCAGGCAGCCCGTTACAGCTGTCTGCTAAGCATACAATGAGAGAAATAGATATCTCTGCCAAAACAGTACATTGCAGATCCACGGAGATGGCCATCAGCAGTGACTAGCAGGGGAAGGTTGGCAGGACCCCGTGCAGTGGTTGGTGAGCTTGTGCCTCTGTCTGCTGGCCCTGTGTGCAGGGTTTCTGTGGGAGGAGGCCAGAGAAGCCTCCATGGAAGTATCCAGCAGTCAAAGGGCTAAGAGATGGTGGCTGAGAAGAAGAACCAACATCGGTACAGACTCAGTAGCCAGTGGGGAGTGAGAGCCAGGCTTCTGTGGACTTCACCAGACAACACAGACCTCAGTGGTTACAATTCATTCAACAGAGAAGCTTTCTGTCTTCTCCCCGCTGTCCACGATGATCTCATATGGATTTCAAAAGCTTTTCTCCTCCATTAGAGTCCCGGATCTATTATGTTATAATGTGTTTGTCTGTGCTTATTAACTATTCAGGAGGCTGTGTTGTTCAAGAGCTTATGTGGGTAATGAGTAAATATTAAGTTCCTTACACCATTTTAAAACACTGAAAATGGCACTGTTTCCCTGAGTGATCCCAGACAGAGAAATTGCTTTGTTCTTTAGATTTTTTCTTCTTCTGGTGATCACAATAACCTCTTTGACCTCCTTTCAATATCTCATGTTTGAGCAATCACAAAAGTTATTTTTTTTTAAAAAAAGAATGTAATGTCCCTTTTTAGAAGCACCTTCTAGAATGTTCTGAAAGTTAGAACAACCGGATATATTTACTTTCGGTCCCTGCTTAAAAGCAGCATTTCAAGCCCAATAATAACTCAGGACACACCTGTTACATTAGTGCAAGTTTCAGTTTCTGAGCTTTTTGTGGAGCCCTCCTTTCAGGGTACTATTTTAGGGGTACGTGGCACTGGGAGGAGGTGGGACCTGAAAGGTGCAGTTTCTCCAGCTTGGTAAATTTTCATGGGATGCCCTGGGACACGGAAAGCTTTGTAACCAGGGGGGCCTCACCAGGCACCCGACGGACTACTATTAGAAGGGGCTGCAACCCCATGAAGGCAACCCCAAAATATGCAATCAGAAAACGGTGTACCAAGATGTCTCTGTTCAGTAACGGCCCTCATGTTCACGGCTGGTTTACTTGGGACACCCTCTCAAGGAAGTTGGCCTCTGCGAGCAGACAGCTAGGGTTTTCCACCTGTTCATTTCATAAACAGGTGTCAAATGCCTGCTGAGCCCCAGACATCTTCTTCACAATCCTCACACCACGGAGCTTCCACACCCAGCAAGGTCTGCCCCACAAAGAAACGGTAGCAGCGGGAGGCAGTGTTCTGCAAGGAGCCTGGCAAGGATAATTTGGCACAGGTACACAGTGCAGGAATTCCTTCCTTCGGAGCCAGGCAAGTCCTTGGAGATAGGTCGTGAGGTGCTGTATGCCAAGGACGTGTGTACAGCTTCGGGGATGAACAAGGTCTCCAAGAGAGTGAGCGTAGACAGAAGGCCATTTGGAGGCTAAGCCCCCGGAAACTAACGTGGAGAGGGAGCCTGAGGAGCAGTGGATGGGAAAGTGAATCAAAGAGGTTGAAGAGAATGGCAGACTCAGGTGTGTGAGTGAGAGTCGATTGTGTCCACCCTGCAGAGAAGCCCAGTGGGATGCAGAGAATGGAGTGTTCACCATCAGACTGGAGTGACTTCATGCTAATCTGCTTTCGGCCACTACAATAAATACCTGAGACATATGCAGAGAAAAGTATTGAGACTCACAGGCTTGGAGGTCCTGGGCAATGATGAGCCATCTCAGTGGTGTTAGGCCTGTGGTGAGACAGCACCACGTGGTGGGAATACACCCCCTCACCCCAGGAGCCAGAGAACGAGAGGTGGGGTCCTGAGATCTGTGAAGATCTTCCCTCCCAAGATCTTACCCCCTCCCTCCTCTGAAAGTGCCACCACCATCCGCCAGCACCACTCTGGACCCCCAACACACGGACCCACATAGGGAACATTCAAGACTCAAGCCATAGCATCTTTATTCAGGTATTAGAAACAGTAAACATTCTAGATTTCCTGTTACCAGGGATAGCACCTAGATGCTGCAGTCACCAGGAATGAAGACAGGAAGGAGTGAAGAGAGGTTCTGTTAGCCGGAGGGAACCACAGTCTTCAGGGACATAAAGGGAGTGTCCCGGAAGAATGGCAAAAACTAGAAGGGCAGATGGAGCCATACTCAGTAGAATCAATATCAGTATAATGGCATTCTGTAGACAGACGGGGGCAATTCGGTAAAGAAAGGCACTTGTTTTCCTTCTCAACTGCAGGACTCAGGTGTCAAACAAGCAGCAGTCGATGCTTGAGAGAGTTTCCCAGAGCTCTACTTTATGCCAATGGTTCTCAACCTTCTAATTCTGTGACCCTTTAATACAGTTCCTTATGTTGTGATGACCATAAATTATTTTTTGTTGCTACTTCATAACTAATTTTTTGTAAATGGAGACTGAATTTTTGTTTCCCGGCCACCCAGGCCTGGATAATTTACACAGAAACTATATTAATTACAACACTGTTTGGCCTGTTAGCTCAGGCTTCTTATTAATAACTCTTACATCTTAAATTAACCCATTTCTATTAATCTATGTGCCACTATAAGGCTGTGGACTACCGGTAAGTTTCCGGCATCTTTCTCCTTTTGCAGCTGCATGGCATCTGCCTGACTCTGCCTTCTTTCTCCCTTCATTCAGTTTAATTGTCCCACCTAGCTCTATTCTACCCTGTCATAGGCCAAAGCAGCTTCTTTATTAACCAATGGTAATAAAACATTCACAGCATACAGAGGGGAATCCCACATCAAACTTTGCTACTGCTATGAATCATAATATAAATATCCGATATGCAGGATATCTGGTATGCGACCTCCAAAGGGTTCATGACACACAGATTGAGAACCATTGATCTATGCAGATGAAAAAGGCACTGATATTATAAACAGTGTGTGTGTATGGTGATCTTCTGTTGATATTTCTCAGCAGCACAGCGAGAGGGGTTGAGAGGTATGAAGTATTGAGGGGCATAAAGCTTCGAGCTCAACCCCCACAGCTCACTGGACAGGATCACTGGACAGAACCATTGGGTTTTTAGCCACTAGTAAGTTTCACAGGACACGAGGCATGATGGAGGTGCATCACAGGAAGACTTGAACAGCAAACCGAGGAATTTCTATTTTAGGCTGTATGCCAAGGCCACTGGGCGGGGGATGAGGTGCTGATCCAAGTTTGAGCAGCAAACTACCATAGTCAAGATCATGTAAGCAAAGGAGGCTCCTTGATCCCCTTCTGTCGCAGGCAAGCTCAGGTCCGTTCAGGTCAGGAAGGTGGGGAGAAGTGCTTGTTTGAAACCTGCTGTCTTAGAATGCGAAGGCACAAAGGAAGAGAGGGAGTGAGCAAGAGATGCTGCCTGAAGTCCCGAAAGAATAGTTTTGGAAATTTGGCAAACCACAGTTAAACATTTGCAGGGGGCTCAACCTACGACGAGGAGCGCAGTTACAGATGCAGCAACAGTTTCCCCTGTTGCTAACCCAGGAATAAAGGCTTTCGGTCTAGGGAGGCTGCGACTAATAAAAGCCAGGTGATTCTCAGAAATGCTGCTGAGAAGCCCCGATTTAAAAGATCACCATCTACACTTCTTACAATGTCAATTTCTTTTTCATCGGCATGGAGCACAGCGCTGGGAACACTCTCAAATGTTCATGTTGGTGTTGCAATCTCCCTAATTTAACTTCAGTTTCTCAAGGCGGGGCCGGGAGCTCGGATTGCCACCCGCCTTGAGATTAGCGTGTTGGCGTGAGTTATACCTAAGTCCAGGCAATGGCTCTCAGCCATGCACAAAGGCCGGTTCAGTCAGAGCAGCTGGCGGCATTCATTTTTGTAACCAGTGTGAGTTAGAACGCATATGGCAGGAAGAAGGGGCCGCTTTGACTGCCTTTCTTTTTCACCCTAAGTGAGGGCAGGGCTGAATAGCAGGGAGGCGCTCTTAGGAAATGGTTTCATCACAGCCCCTGAGGCCAGGCCCTCAAATCACAGTTCAGTTCTAGCTAAGAATCTGACTCATGCGAGTGAAACCCCACCCACTTTTGCCCATTTTCCTTCTTTCTGCTGACAGCAGCTCAAAGTGGTCCTGAAATCTCGGGGTCTTGGTGTGTGATTAGATCAACATAGGCTGCCACTGCCCCGTGCCTTCACTGCTTGGCCTTTTCGTTCCCAACAGGGAAAAGGCTGCTGAGGGACTTGGGAAGGTGGAGGAGCTCCGCGAGATGGACCGGAACTGGACAGGGACAGCGCTGGAGGGGCTGCACGAAGGACCCCAGGATCTGAACGAGGTCCTGCCTGCCTCTTTCAGCAGAACGCCGCTAGATGCCCCCGGAGGTCCGGCAGGCCATGGGGCGTGCCCAGGCGAGTGGGGGCGTGGTTAAGGCGGGGCTCTGAGGTGGAGGCGTGGTTATGCGGTCGTGGGAGGAGCCGGGGCGGGAGGTGGTGCCGCGGAGGGGATCCGCGGCCCGGGCGAGAGCTCGCCAGCCCCGCCGCGATGCCCCCG